CCCCTCTCAAATCTGACCACCATGACGGAAATCATGTCTCTTGTTGTTCAGTGCCCCCATAACTAGCAAAGTGGCTGGAACATAACAGATACTAAATAAATATGTGCTAAATCAAATCCACTTGGCTCCTTTACTTACATTTTCTTTTTCTTTCTTTACACCTCTGGAGTCATAGTGGCCAACACTACCTAGCTCCTCTGGTAACAGGTAGAAAAAGCAGAAGAAAAGAGCTAACTCCTGTGCTGAAATTGTGTGTGTGTGTGCGCGCACTTTCTTTCTTTACACCTCTGGAGTCATAGTGGCCAACACTACCTAGCTCCTCTGGTAACAGGCAGAAAAAGCGGAAGAAAAGAGCTAACTCCCGTGCTGAAATTGTGTGTGTGTGTGCGCGCACGTGTGTGTGTGTGTGTGCACGTGTGTGCATCTTCTGGCCAGAGAGATAATGAAGTCAGAATAGGCTGAAGGTCCCTCTTATAGCCTACAAAGCCAGCAAGTCCATTTACATGGGTTTGTAATGGGATATAGTTAATGAAAGGCTGTGGGACTTTAATGGCATAGAAGAAAAACTAAAATGAAAACACATCATTTGCTCCAACCAAGGTTAACAACTTAAAACTAATTAGAATGGTGGCCATTCTTTAAACAGCCAACTGTTTAAATTCCATGGAAAAGATTTCTAAAGGCATACAATTAAAATATCTTTCCATCCTCCCAAGGCAGATAACAATGACTAAGAGTTCAGGATCTCTCCTCTGTCTGTGGCTAAGGGACGAGCCACTTCTAAGGTGCCAGTTCTCAGTGCAAAAAGAGAGCATCTCTAGGCATACTTTCTCTCTTTCTCTAAAAAGCCAACTATTTAGGCTGTCTAGAAAAAGGGCAAAGTATTTGAACTGACTTTTCTGCCTCTTGCTGTTGTGGTCTGCAAAATCCTGTATCATAAACACTTTCCAACGGAAACCATCAGGTTAAACTTACCCTCTGCTGCAGATTATTTCTAGGGCTTCCAAGTTCCCATGGTAGGCTGCCAGGATAGTGGGAGTCATGCCATCTTCATCAGAAAGATTCAGGTCTCGCTTGGTAGCCTCTTTCAGAAGTTGAAGGTAGCTATCATTAGCAGCTTGGTGGTATCGAGTGGACATTTTTTCTGCTCACCAAAGCTTGGCCAGATATCTTTCTCCAGGCAGAGCAGGATGTTGGCAGAGCAGGCTTCCTACAGAGCTGGTTAATCAGTGACAAGGAGAAGTGTCACCCTAGGGTAAAGCTCATTCCAGCTTCCCTGGAAGGCAGCCAGAAAGCTTCACAGCACTGAACTCGGACCTTTGCTTTCTGGAATAGCTATGACTTTGAATATGGAAGTCTGCTGTGTTCATCCTGAGCATTTTGGGGCACATTTAATTTTTGCTATGTTCATCAAGCCTTGAATGTAATATTGGCCATCTAGGCACAGAATGTAGAAAACAACTTTCAAAAAATTCAGAACTAGTCTAGTTCATTGGGGAGGTCTTTTTTTAAAATAACAGCTTTATTGAGGTATAATTTGTGCAGCATGAAATTTATCCATTTTAAGTATACAATTCAATGATTTTTAGTAAATTTACAGAGTTGTGCAACCATTATCATAACCCAATTTTAGAACATTCCTATCACCACAAAAATGTCCTTTGTGTTCATTTGCAGTCAATCCCTGTTCCCACTCCCAACCCCTGGAAACCACTGATCTTTCTGTATCTACAGATTTGCTTTTTTGTGGCATTTCACATAAATGGGATCATACAATAGTCTTATGCGTCCAGCTTTTTTTCAATTCACGTATTTTTTGAGGTTCATCCATGCTGAAGCATGTAACAGTAGTCCCTCTCTTCCTTTTTACTGTTGAATAATATTCCACTGTACTAATATACCACATGTTCTTTATTCATTCACCAGTTGATGAACATTTGGGTTGTTTCCATTCCAGGGCAATTATGAATAATGCTGCTGTGAACATTCACATACAAGTCTCTGTATAGACATATATTTTCATGTCTCTTGGGTATATACCAAAGAGTGGAATTGCTGGGTTATATGGCAATTTAACAGACACATAAAAAATGTTCAGCATCACTCAGCATTCACAAAATGCAAACCAAAACCACTTTGAGATGTTAATTATCTCACTCCAGTCAGGATGGCTAATATCCAAAAGACTGAGAATAATAAATGCTGACGAGGAGGCAGAAAAAAGGGAACACTCCTACACTGTTGGTGGGACTGCAATATGGTGCAGCCTTTAAGGAAAATGGTATGGAGGTTCCTCAGACAATTACAGATAGATCTATCATATGAGCCAGCAATCCCACTCCTGGGAATATACCCAAAGGAATGGAAATCATCATGTCGAAGAGATACCTGCAATCCCATGTTTATTGTGGTGCTATTTACAATAGCCAAGAGTTGGAACCAGCCTAAATGCCCAACATCAGATGAGTGGATAAGGAAAATGTGGTATATCTACACAATGGAATACTACTCTGCTGTAAAAAGAATGAAATATTACCATTCACAGCAACATGGATGGACTTAGAGAAAATTATGTTAAGTGAAATAAGCCAGGCACAGAAAAATACTTCATGTTCTCACTTATATGTGGGAGCTAATAGAAATAAATGAATAAATACACAAATAAATGGAGGGGGGGAAGACACAACAATCACAATAATTCCTTGAACTTGTTAAATAAATAGATATGATGTTGAGAGAGGTGGGAGGGAGAGAAAGGGAGGGGAGAAAGGAGGAATTGGCAAAGGCTCACGAAAATCATCTACATTGTATATTGATAAATTTAAAAAAATGAAATAAATAGCCAAACAATTTTACAAAGTGGCTGTACCATTTCACACTTCCACCAGCAATGTATGAAGGTTCCAGTTCCTCCACATCTTTTCCAGCTGCCGTTATTGTCTGCCTTTGTGCTTATCCTAGTGGGCGCAAAGTGGGACTATTGTGGTTGTAATTTCCATTTCTCTGATGACTAATGATGTTGAAAATCTTCTCATGTGCTTATTAGTCATTCTTAGATCTTCTTTTCAAATATTTTGCCCATTTTTTCTTTGGGTTGTCTTCTTATTAATGAACTGTAAGAATTTTTATATATTCTGTATATAAGTCCTTTACCAAATATATTCTAAACATAATAAAAACAAAAAACAAATCAAAATTTGTAGGATGCAGGTAAAGCAGAGCTTAGGAGGAAATTTGTAGTTTTTAATGCCTATATTAGAAAAGGAAAAAGATCTCAAATCAATAACTTCCACCTTGAGAAAATGAGGAAAAATGTAGAAATATTAGTGTAAAGAACACAATATAAGACCCAAAACTTCCAGATCTATCTATAAACAAAATAAAAGTAAATGGACCAAATTTACCAGGTAGAAGACTCAGCCATGTCTTGTTTACAACAGACACATATAAAATATAAAACTGCAGTGATTGAAAGCAAAAGAATGAAAATAGTAACAAAAAATTGGTGTAGCTACACTTACATCAAGCAAAATATAGTTTAAGCAAAAAATTTACTAGGGATAAAGACAGATAATAAATAATGACAAAAGAAACAATCAAGAAAATATGATAGTTCTAAACTTGTTGGGGAGCAAGATGGCGACGGGTCTGGAGCGGGCGTGCCAGAGGACAGAGAGAGCCTGTGAAG